CACTTGATTTTGGACAGTGTCCATAATATATTTTGGACACACTGAATGGGAACGAATATATTTTGGACATGCTGAAGTTCTTTCAACCTATGAGCCTAAAATTAATTACGACGGTCACTTCTTCCTATCTCGCATTTGTTAGGCTTCGTCTAGGTGGGAAAATTTTCAAAGAAGGTGCCGTAAAACGGGGTGAAATTGATCGCTGAGTATACCCAATATTGTACTTATGCATAATATTTTTACAATGTATACAAAGATACCTTCGTACGCTTAGTAACGAAAAACATGTTGCACATGAAAAAATATCACGAGAAATTTCAGCGATCAATTTTGCCCCGCTGATCAATTACACCCCGTTTTACGGTATGCATAAAAGTTAACCCCCCGTTACTCGCGCTGTTGTACTTTGTACAACACATATGAGTTTTCCATTGCCATTTTGTTGCTGCCAATCGATCTGAAACCAACTTGTATTCCTCAAAAAACTTGTTTTGAACTAAAAAAGCTAAACTTTGATTACAATTAACCCCCAAAATGCGGATAATAGAGAAAATGTAAATGGAAACCGCGTAAACGGTGTCCATACTACGTGGGATTGACTTAATTGGTTACAACATGGAATATCTCGAGATCCTGACCAGATAGAAAGTTACTGTCTTGGGCAAAGTTGTTCAGGAGGTCAAAGCCTATTTCTTAGTGTACAATAGTTCAGAATTATCTCACTTCGTGGTGCTAGTATACATGTGAAATTCTCGTGTATAAAATATCTCTAGATCCTGACCAGATAGAAAGTAAATGCCTTCAGCAAAGTTGTTCAGGAAGTCAAGCTCTTTTGGTTGGTGGAGTAGTTCAGAAATTTCACACTACGAGGCGCTAGTATATACGTGTAATTCTCGCATATACAATAGCTCGAGTTCTTGACCAGCTAGAAAGTTACTGTACTGGGCAAATTTGTTCAGGGGGTCAATACTTTTCGACTGGTAGACATTAGTTCAGAATTTTCTCACCACGTGGCGTTTGTATACATATACACTTCTCGCATATGATATATCTCGAGATCCTGACCAAATAGAAAGTTACTGTCTTTGAAAAAGTTGTTCAGGAGGTCAAAGCCTATTGCTTGGTGTAGAATAGTTCAGAATTTTCTCACTATGTAGTTCTAGTATACACGTTAAATTCTCTCATATAAAATATCTAGAGAGCATGACAAGATAGAATGTAACTGTCTTGGGCAAAGTTGTTCAGGGGATCAAGGCCTTTTGGCTAGTGGACGGTAGTTCAGAATATTTCACTTCATGGTACTAGTATATACGTGCAATTCTCGCATATGATATATCTCAAGACCTGCTAAAAATGTACTGTAATCGGCAAAGTTGTCCAGGAGATCAAACCCTATCGTTGGTGGAAAGTATATAATTTTCTCACTAGGTGACGTTGACAGACACGTGAAATCCTTGCATTTAAAATATCTCTGAATGACCCGCATACTAGTGCCACGTAAAGGGAAAATTCTGAATTACTGTACACCAACGAAAAGATCCTAACATCCTGAACAACTTTGCCCAAGACAGTAACTTTCTGTCTGGTCAGGATCTAGAGATATTTTATATGCGAGAATTCCTCATGTATACTAGCGTTGCAAAGTGAGAAAACTCTGAACTTAAGTCCACCAGCAAAAAGGCCTTGACTTCCTGAACAACTTTGCCGAAGACAGCAACTTTTTATATGATCAGGATTTCGAGATATTTTATATGAGAATTTCACGTATATACTAGCACCATATAGTGAAAAAAATCTGAACTATAGGCTTTGAACTGCTGAACAACTTTTTCGAAGACAGTAACTTTCTATCTGGTCAGGATTTCGAGATATATCACATGCGAGAACTTCACATGTATACTAGCGCTATGTAGTAAGTAAATTTTGAACTACTGTCCACCAGCAAAAAGGTTATGATCTCTAGAACTACTTTGGCAAAGACAGTAACTTTCTATCTGGTCAGGATCTCGAGATATTCCATGTTGTAACCAATTAAGTCAGAACCCTCGTAATATGGACACCATTTACGCGGTTTCCATTTACATTTTCTCAATTATCCGCATATTTTGGGGGTTAACTGTAATAAATATTTAGCTTGTTTAGTTAAAAGCAAGTTTTTTGAGGAATACTCGTTGATTTCAGATCGATTGGTAGCTCGGCTGCAAAATGGAAATGGAAAACTCACACTGTTGTACGCGTGAGTACTCGTGTTACAAAAGTTGGCGCGTTTAACGGAGGAAATATAATAAATCATAAGGAAACAACTAATCATACCATAAAAAAAATCATTCAGAAGTAAATCTTAATACGGAGACCTGACTCTATGCTTGCAGTCCATATTATTTTTTGTATGGGCTGTTCATAAACTACGTAGACGGTTTTTGAGAAATTTCAACCCCCCCCCTTCCGTAGAAGACAGTCTCAAACACAAAATTTAAAAAATTGTATGGACCGTAGACATCTACCAAGCGCTCCCACCCCCCTAAAGCGTCTACGTAGTTTATGAACAGCCCCTTAGTTAAATGCGTTTGGGAGATAGGAAAACTTTTGTGGAAAACTAGGAACTAGGAAAACTAGGAAAACTCAGAGTGGACCACTCTACGTGTTTTGCCGTTTTTCCCATTTTGAATCGCCTGATAAACAAGAAATATATTTAAAAACAATGAATTCATATAATTTTGATTGATTTACTTACCAATTTAATCAGAAATCTGAGATAATAGCATGATCGACCAACCGGAATTTTTTTTTGTCGCTCTTTTGATGATTCTCATTTGATAAGTGTCCAAAATAAGTTGGTTACATTTTTTTACGATCTTTTTTGGACACTTTTTATTCAATACTTTTTAAGTAAAATCTTAAGGTGAAATCTTTATAAACACGTGAAATACATCTTCCAAAGTCAGATACAAAATCATTGAATTGTATATTTTAGACCAAATTTAAAACAAGTACACTAACGCTGATTCCTCTTGACAAACGTCGAAACATGAAACTTTTTCGATAACATTTTCTAAAACTGCATAAATTGAGCAATTGTAAGCAATTTGAGGTGAACTAATGATCTTGAGACATAGCAAGTAATTGAAAGAATGTAATTACAACATCAACCCATATGAATTTGAAGAAACTAGACAGTAAGCGAGGAAAATATATGAAAAGGGTCCAAAATATGTAGGGGTCCAATTCAAGTTGGTTACCCTATTTTCTTAGAATTGTTTTTGTTCTGCCGAACTGAATTTCGACTCCTATCTTTGAAAAATTGGCTTGTATTTTATAGAATTGACCTAGCTAAATCCATACATGAAGGTTGAAACGGGTTTGTAATTCGAAAAGTATTTTTTTTTAGAAATGTGGGTTTCCTTTTCTGTTCAGTTGGATTTTGATACCGTCCTTTGCTTTGCTTTGCTTTGATCCTATTCATCTACATTATTACCAATGTTCTTCCAAAAACTTACCCGATAACCCGAGTGTTGCACATAATAAAGACAACATTTGTGGCTCCTGTTAGGGATCGTCCATTAATTATGTCACACTTTTAGGGGGAGGGGGTTTTGGAAACTGTGACGAGCCTTACAAAAAACAATTAAGGTCCTTATAAAAAATGTGACAAAGGGGGGGGGGAGGGGGATGGGCAAAATTTGCGTGACATAATTAATGGACCTTCCCTTATACATAAGTGTAAAAAATCACGGCTTCAAAGAAGTATAAGGCTAAAACAAAGGCTAAGAAGTAATGTAAACGTTTGAAATATACGGTTTAGATGGGGTGTAAAACAAATTTTGCATGTTTTAATTTAATAAGTTCATTTAATTTGTGTAATAAACAAGTATTTTAACTATACATAACTGCTAGTGTTTGCTACTGCAAGTTGTAAACATATGTGATAAGTTTTTTCGGAAACAAATAATAAACCTACATTGCATAGTGTAGCGTATCACATCCCCACTGCATTTTCGTTCTGTATTGAGGTCTACAACAGCTGTGAAAAATTTGGTTATGATCTTGATTTGCGGGAAGGTTTTAAATTTGGTATAAGAAACGGAACGGAATTATTCATTTGCTGGTCGAAAAATCAAAAATAGCTCAATTTTAGATTAGGAAACCTAATACGGCATTTAGATTTTGTCGAAGATCATAAATCGATTCGACTTCTGGCAAAAAGTTATGATTATTTAACTTATTGCCTAGTGCTTCGGGCATATGCCTACAGGCGTATATTATGTGCGAAGTAAAAGCACAGACAAACAGACGCAACTCATTGAATTTTCGTCGTCGCTAAAACATTAAAAAACATCGTCGCTAAAACATTACCGCCATCTGTTGAGTACACTGCGGTGGATAGTACACTGAACAGATGGCGGTAGTGTGTAAACGTAAAACGCACGGGAATTGACTATGCGCGCCATTGGTGGCGGTACTACCAACTACGATACTTTTAAATTGACCGTTAAATGCTTGTTCGATGAACAACTTGCTAGTGTTATGTCTGTTTGTCTGGGGTTAGTTCTGAATAGTTTTCTCAATCTAAATCCCTGGTTTGGTCAAAATTGAGCTGTTTTTTGTATTTTTAACAAACCAATTAATAGTTTCGTTTCGTTGGAAAATTAAAAATTATTCTGCAAATCTAGATCATAACCAAAATTTGGCGCAGTTTTTGGGGACCTCAATACACATCGAAAGAACAGTGGAAAGGTGACCCACCCTATTGAATAGCTTTAATTACCATTAATATATTTTCAATAGGTTATGTTTACGCTGCTTATTGTTTTTTTTTGTCTTATTAGAGCATAATGTTTCGCTTATTGTATCCAAAGCCATCTACTATAGCTAAATAAACTTGGCCCTGAAAACAGCTACCACTATTGCAGCTGCAATCAAACCGTTCAGTACTCGAACCATCATCGCCGAATTACAACCATCTTTGTAGCAAAAAACGCACTGGTCCCTGAAAACTTCACAATTTTGTTTCTTTTCGGCATCAAGCTCTGAAACGCATCCTCGCTCGGTAACAATTCTGCGCTCGTTTCTAATAAGATAACAGCCACGATTGGCGTACTCTACGATCCCTTCACATTTCTCCACCCGATAGGATACATTGGGACCGTCACAGTTACTTTCACAGATTGCACACTGTTGAGTGAGCTGATTTTCGTTGTTACAACCTGCTTCGGCACACTCTTCAATCGATGTAGCTGAGCATGTATTTTGGCCCTGTTCCGATGAGCAACCTCGAACGATGCTATTATCTTCCTGTTTGCACGTGAAGCATCCGGTTTCACTATCCGTAGGACACTGCTCGGCCGAGTCCGATTGGAAGCCCCACGCACAAGTGACATCCATTGATTCCTTGCACCTAATGCAGGCCAATGATGACGTGGTGGTCGTAGTTTCTACGCTGTTGACAGTTGAAGTGCTCGCGTCGTTTGTTGAAGTGCTTGCCTCGCTTGTTGAACTGCCCTCTTCGGTTGTTATGGAACTGTCTTCAGTTGATGTGCTTGTACTTCCCGGAGCTTCTGTAGTACTTTGATCGGGTTGATTTTCGCCATTGCAACCTGTTTCATAGCAGGGAGTGCATAACGCTCCAGTACAAATTGTTTTTAGTTCGGATATGCATCCACGAGATACTGTTGAACCATCATCTGAAATAGCAGTGAAGCAACCATCTCCTTCAACGTATTTGGCACAAATTTCAGGACTTCCAAGCATCGTCTCACAGTCGTCGCAGCGATAGCACTTGATTCTGTCCGATGGGAAGATGTTTTTATTGCAAACGGGTTCAGAGCAAGTTTCATGTTTGTTTCCATAACTGGAACAAAGGTTTTCAAAGCCGCTTAGGCAACCGCGTGATACAATTCCCTCTTTTGAAACGTACGATATGCAAGCTACATCTTCGCACAACTCCCTGGCGTCTAGTTCATTTCCACAGTCCTCTCCTTCGCACTCAATACAGCTGATGATGTCCGGATCTGTTGAATACAGGTTGCATCCATCACAGCTGCAGAGTGTACAATCTACCAGATCAGAACATTCAGGGAAAGCTCGTTGACAACCTTTCTCAATTATTTCATCATTCACCAAAAGGCTGTAGCATTGATCTGTGCTGCTTAGATTAAGTGTTCCCACACATAGCTCCGTTTCTGATTTTTCTTGGCAGTCTCGTGCACCACTGCACTTAATACAGGAAAGCGAACTATTAAATTCGTACGGATGATCATTACAACTGGAGCTATTGCATGTTAAACAGCGTTCGGTGCATTCAAGAACCGTGTCCATTAGGCAACCTCGGTAGATAGAGTCACCTGGAAGTAAATAGGTCGTATTTGAGTTCAATGAAGTCGGCAACTATTGCAGTTAAAAAAAAAGCAGATCCTTACCAATAACGTACGTATAGCAGGATTCATCCGGACTGTATTTCGAACAAGCAACTGGTCGATCGGTTGGTGTTAGATAGTTGCATTCTTCACACTGATAGCATAGGATACGGTCCTCAGGAAATGCTGCATTGTTACACATGGATTCGTGGCATTCATAGCAGGTAGCATCGCCTTGTACGCAGGCAGTTGTTTCGGTGCTGCATCCTTTTTGCGTAAAGCCTTTATCTGTGAATTATATGAAACACGATTTAAAATTGACTTCCGGTGTACCGCACAATATTAATGCATTGGTTGACATAAAAAGCTCTCAATTGATAACTGTGGAAGCGAGAACACTAAGTTGAGAGCACTTATAAGCTTCTGTAAGACCGTTACACCAAGGAAGTAGAAGAATGAATGCCTTCTGGAAGAAGCGTTTGATCTTTCTGGATAGACTCGTAACGGATACAAAGATACCTAAGGTGTCGTAAGCCACCGTGGATGTTCCTGCAACAAAATACATCAGATGATTATTTTAAGGGTTAAATTGGTGCCGTGACCAATCGTTTGAAACCTGCGGGCCTGTTTTTAAAACTATGTAACCACCATACGTGAAACCTGTAACGTGCTGAAGATATTAAGTGATTGGCGTCATCGACTCCGAGGATTCCGCTCCATTTCCAGCTACGATGGTGTGGCCTGAAAGGTAGCCGTCTGGCTGAGTATGTTCTGCGTTCTCGATTCACCGTGGACTTCGACAGTTCTAATCGAAAAACATACTCACTCTAAAAGGCGAGTGGGCATGCCGGATACTCGAGCAGTTGTAGTGTTTTCTTATCTTCAGTTACATTCTTCCAGCCAACAACCACTTTCCTCAATAGAAAACCGATGGTTTGGGGGGGGGAGTATGTTTGTGCAAAGCGTCTAGTACATGTTCAATTGCCCTATTATTTGTAGTAACGTTTGTATCCACGCACAGGTGTCGTTAGTGGTACACGCAAGTGTTTTGCCTTGTGTCTTGCTCTGTATACCAAATACTGCTTTGTATTGTAATGAATGATGAACGACAATAAATAAATGATATAGTTCGTATGCCTCCGCCATGGCAGGACGGCCAGACAATCGTTCGTCTTTTATTTAATTGTTTTCTAAAATAACACAACGGAGGAAAAGGTCCTGCCCGTGCGCGATCATATTTGGTATAGTATGATTTGGTACCATATGATCGAGCACGATAGAACCCTACTGCGTTGTGAGCAGTATAAGATTAAATTAAAAGGCGACCGAATATTCTACCGACCAGCCATTTCACACACGATACAATAAATGTACAAACACAATACGGTATAGCAGGCATTACAATGTTAACAATAGTACGAATAGGGAAGTGGCGCTATGCCCAAACATGTGTAAGACCGTTACACCAAGGAAGTAGAAGAATGAATGCTTTCTGGAAGGAGCGTTTGATCTTTCTGGATAGACGCATAACGGATAAAAATATACCTAAGGTGTCGTAAGCCACCATGGATGTTCCTGACACAAAATACATCAGATGAAATTGACTTCTCGAACTTACCATCAACGTAGCTTACACATCTGCGCCCTTCACATATGACCAACATGTCCGGTGAAACAGGTTTCATCCATTCACCGCATTCCGGATTTGTGGAAGAGTCACACGAAACACAGTTGAAAATATCTCCATTACAGTCATCATGACTGCACAACCTGCACAATCCTTCTAGACTGTTCACGCATTCCTCCTTAATCTCACTGTCTTCATCCAAATCGCTGAGACAGCCCTTTGAAACCATATCCCCATCCGTGTATTCGTAGCAAGAATCTTGTCTTCCGAGAAGTAGTTGCTTGGAGCATTGCTGCCCATCAACTATTCCGCGGCATGTTTCACCTTCACAGGTAACGCACGAAAGCAAATTCGATTCGTACGCTTTGTAGTCATTGCAACCCATATTTGGACATTTAACACACTCATCTTCACACGTTTCTTCCTCAATGCTCGATAAGCAATCCCTCTCGACCCATGTGGAATTCTCAAAGCGCGTGTAGCATTTGTCGTCGGGCGTGTACACCACACATGCCTTGACAAGCCCCGGAATAGGATTGAGGCACTCGAGTTTGGAACCCTGGCAAACGTAACACCGCTGACGATGTTCAGGGAGGATTTTGTCGTTACACAGTTTACCTTGACAGGTGTCGCACTGTGAAATATTTTCGCATGCGTCGGGGAAATCTTCGACGCAGCCTCGTTTGGTGTAGCCATGGGCATCTACTAGAGTCAAGCATTCCGTTTGGCATTCGAATTGATATTGGGAAGTAGATACCAGCTCGGAGCAATCGTTGTCCTCGTTTGAGTTGCACTTATAGCATAATGCCGCTCCAAAGTTGCAATCGTTTTCAGAACATATTGTGCATCTAGGATCTTCTATCAAGCAGTCCTCGTAATATAAATGGTCGATAGGTAGCTCGGATAAGCAACCCTTTTCGATTATCAGGTCTTTGAAATATAGCGTATAGCACTGATCTGACCGACCCAGAAGTTGTTCCTTTGTACACATTGTGCCAAATGCTTGCCCTTCACATGCACTGTTGCTCGGGCATTGAATGCAGGAAAGTTGGTTTGCTTGCACCGTATCCTGGCTATTGCAGTGTTTATCGTGGCAGGGTACACAGGGTTCGCTATCGCATACGAGAGCTAACTTATCATTAGAGCAACCTCGTGTGACCGTGATATTGTCTTGAGCGTATGTGTAACAGAATTGGTCTTCGCCGTAGACTAGACATGGTTTCGAGTCGGAAGGCTGCAGCTTTGATGCTTCACATCCATCTCCGTCGCACTGGTAACAAGAGATACGATTTTCAGGTAGGAGTTGTACGTTGCAATTGTGATCTTTACATTGCTTACAAAGTGGACCTTCGATGCATATACCTTCCTGATCAGTGGAACATCCCCGGTTTAGATGCCCGGCGTCGTCCATGTAGGTAACACAAACTTCGTTGGCTTTACAATAAGATAAATCGATTGGATTCGTGATACATTCAATACCGTCTTTATCAGTTGAACAACTGAAACAGGACAGATCGGGAGTATTGCAGTAGTCTTCGTCACAGAGCTCGCAAGATTGTTGAGGGGTGTAGCAAAAAATTTCTAGGTCTTCTGGAATTCCGTCACTTAGACAGCCTTTGAACAATGTAACGTTGGCTACGGAAATAGTTACGCAGAGATTAATGAGTAAATCTTCATTGTTTCCACACTGCTCTGCTGGCGTGTAGTTGGAGCAGTTTTTTCCTAAACATGAAGAACACAACAACGGATTGGGCTTAACTTCGTGAGTATTGCAGACTTCGTCGACACAAATAAAGCAGTTTATGTTTTCTTTGCAAGAGGTGAACCCAGAGTCCGATACGCAACCACGATCAATGGTTTGGTCCTTGAGATCTTGGACAGTGTAGCATCCTTTGAAAGATTGAATGCAGACTTTTGGTGACAAGTCTTGGAGTTCGGTGCAATTTTTGCATTGGTAACATGATTTGCCTATAATATCCGAATTACACGCAGCTCCTGGACAAATTTCGTCATCTTTGAGTTCCTCCCCGTTATAGTCACTGGTACAACCACGAATCACTTCTCCTTTATCCTTTCTAACTGTAAAGCACTGATCTGCGGGATTCGCACAAAGTATGGTTTCCACATCGTCCACCGTCAAACAATCTGTACACTCGAAGCACTCCGCAAGTTCTACAATGACAAATTATGTCGATTAAATGGAAGATTGTTTGTCATGTCTGATGGATATCACCTTCTGCATTGCACAAATTCTCCTCACATTGAAAACAGTGGTCTTTATCGTTATCACAGATTTCGGGTATTTTATCAATACATCCCAACTGCGGCGCGTTGTCCTGGTTTTGGTAGCGGAAACACTTCTTATCAGACTTATTACTGCTACATATCTCATTGCACATTCCATCGGAACACAAGGTTGCACAGATATCGTTGTTGTTGCATTTGTCTTCTCGGCAAATATTTTTGCACAATCCAAGTTCTTTATTACAAAGGTTTGAATCGTTAATGCAAGCTCTTTTAACGTCGTGACCTGAAATTATGTTGAGATTTACTGAGCGGTCGAGGATTGTGAACGATCATCTTACCATCAATATAAACCGCACAATTCAAGAACGTTTTGCAAGTCTTTGTGTCGTCATCTACGCAGTCTTCACCAACGGCCACGCTACAGCTGTAACATTCCCAAGGTTCAATCGAGTTACACTTGTCTTCTGTGCATGTATTACAAGCGTTTCCGCAATCTAGTCCTTCTTCAGACAGACATCCACGACTCGTGGTGTCGCTACCTGTTGATACTCAACCTATTTATATCAGAACATTTAACTGTACCTATCACCTTACCGTCAATCTTGTAATAGCATCCCGAGACATTATTCCGACTGCAATAATTAAGTTGCTCTCGATCAACGACATCGCAGTCCTCGGTACATTGATAGCATTTCATCGCATCTTTCGGAAACAGTTCATCGTTGCTTGCGGGCTCCCCGTTTTCTTGACATTTATCATCACATATACGATCCTCAAACTTGCTGGAACATCCGCGTACCGTGTGGCCTTCGTCTGTCAAATCACAAAAGTCATTATTTTTCTATGACATGTTATAAGCCTCTTGATCTTGATGACATTTTTATTTTCTATAATTATTGTAACATGTTATAACCAGGGCTGGTAAATGTCATTTTCAATTTAAGATCTCACGCGATATTTACAGAGATACTTCTGTCACTATCATCGGATGAGAAAATGATGATAGAGATTTTGTTCAAAATTTCATCGATTTTTTTGTCATGACAGAATGTGACAGTGTTGTGTTCATTGCAATTACTAGCTTATTTATTGCTGTTAATGTTACTAGTTCCGAGAAAATCTTAATAATATATTCATTCTACTGATTACATACGGTTGTTTGCTTAAATTCATCTAAATCAAATAAAAATGTTGATGTCAAAACCGCATCAGAATTATTCTCATGAGTGCTAGATCATTGAAAAATGAAAGAAAGCTAATGATAGGTAGTTTCGTCTCGTGATAGTTAGAGGACTTGTTTTCTCATCGTCACATGACGGCCGTGATATTTACCAGCTCTGGTTATAACTGTGTAGTCTGAACGTTGTAAACTAAAACATATGAGTGAACAGCAAACGATTAAAATAATTAAAGTTCGCGAAAAAATGAACAATTTAGAAAAGTCGTAAGAATTCTTTCGAAAGCAAGACGGTAAAATTGTTTGCAAATGAATACTGGCCGAGGTCGATAGCAAATAATCAAGTTCTTCTATATGAGTCCGCATCGTACTGAAGGAAGTGTTACTGCTACCTAAAGCTACAACAAATTTAAACATCACTTTAACTTCCTTTTTTGACTCTTGCTCCTCGTCGATCCTTGTTTGGACCCTACCCGAAGTAATCCTGCTTGGAAATCGATTTGGAAAATTCCTCTTCGATCCTTCAGATTATTATAGTAATCAGCTTGGAAATCGATTTGGAGAAACGTTTTACTGCCGTCATGGCGCCTAAGCGCAAAAGAAAAGGACAATCTCTTGATCCTCCTTCTGATGAAATCAATTTGATATGCTCACGGATGATGAGAATGATCCATCATCCATGCAAAATTCAAGTAAAGGTCTCCCCTATTGTGATAACCACTTCTGATTTCCATGCTCTTCGCACGAAACTTGAGAACTTGGTTAAATCCAAGTTTTCACTTCAAATTTGCCGTCGAGGTGAATGCCGTGTATTGGCTGAAAGCTTGGCTGGATTCAAACCTCTTCTCAAGTATCTTACTGATAATCAGCACTTTTTTTTTACTTAAGACACCACACCACAGAACGTCTATTCAAGGTTGTCTTGAAAGGTCTGCCCAGTGGTGAATCCCTGGATCATATCAAAAGTGAATTGACAAAATTACTTGTAGTTGAATCAAACCAAGTAATCAAAATGAAATCCCGTCCTGGCGATTCGCGTAATAGGATTTCTAATGATTTTTATTTAATTCACTTCAAGTCTAGTGAACTAAACAACAATAAGGCCTTACAAAAAGCTAGCCTTATGTGCCTCCATGTCCATGTCCAAAACCTCACCCAGTGCCGTAAGTGCCAGGGTCACGGAACAAAACATTGCTACATGCCAGCTAAATGCATGAATTGTGGAGATTCCTCTCACGCTAAGGACGACTGTCCTATGAAGGAAGATCCTAAGAAATTTAAATGTTCAAATTGTGGTGAAAACCACAAATCCAATTTTTGGGAATGTAAGACTCGCAAAGTGATCCTACAATCTTGTTCTAAGGACAGGTAGTAAACGTTCCACGTTCCCGGTCAGGTACTAATGTTAACAACAGTCAGCGAGGAACAAATTCTACATTCTACGGACCCGTACATAGGTACAAATAGCTCCTCTGTTTCAAATTCTTCATCTATACCCACTGCCAACAATGTTCAGTAAGTAAATGGAGCTACCTATGCTGCTATTGCAGCGGGTGGAAATCAAAATCAACATTCTAGCCAACATAATTCTAACGGAAATTTTGATGATTTCGACTAGCATTACTGCTCCTAAAATTGATTTTTTACAGAAATCATTAATCGACATGATTACTGATAGGTTAAAAACTAACTCCATGTTTGATGCTATTAAAACTGGAGTTTAATTTGCGAACAATATAGTCATGACTTTGAATGTAATGGATTTCAAATCATTCAATATTTTGAATGGGAATGGTCGGTCTATTAAAGATAAAGAAGACGAGCTATTTAATTTTTTAGAGTTCATGACGTGCATATTGCCGTTATAACTGAAACGTTCCTTAAGCCTGACTATAAGGTTAATAGGGACGCAAATTATTTCATTTATCGAAATGATCGTCTTGGTGGAGCCGGTGGTGGCGTTGCCATCATTGTTCATAGACGTATCAATTATCAACATTCTATCTTCATTTGGAACCAATATTTTTGAAACTTTGGGAGTTTCTGTCGATACAAAATTTGAGCAACTTGCGTGCCAGCAAAAGAATTTTCTCAAGGGTGACCTTCAGAAACTTACCCGTCATAGGTTTAAATTCTTCATTATTGGTGATTTTAATGCAAAACACCGCGCATGGAATAATGCTTAAAGCAATTCCAATGGTAATATTCTGTTTGATTACTGTTTTGCAGATTATTACACTTTTCAATATCCAAACAGCCCAACATGCTTTTCTTCAGCAAGAAATCCCTCAACTATTGATTTAGTCTTAACAGATTCATGTCAACTTTGAAGCCAATTGGTTACCCATGCTGACTTCGGTTCTGATCCGTCTGAAAAATGTCCGTAGGCGACAATATCAAAGAAAACGCGATCCTGCCATGACATTAATCTTTCGGGATTTGCAAAAACAAAAATATAAAAGCAATGCTCTGCCGAATTTAAATCCGAATTCCAAAGCTCACAGAACATTAAAAAATCTCAATTGCATTTTGCTGCCCTCGAAGAAGGTGGCAAAATTTTGATCACAAATTCGGAAAAAGCTCAGAAACTTGCTAAGCAGTTATTTCAAAGTTGGGTCTTACTAGTCCTACTGAGAATCAAGTTGCTTGGGATTATCTGAATATTTTTTCTAGGGAAAATATTTTTGACGATTCCTGGGGGACTGATTTGGACGAAATAAGGTCTATAACTAAAAAGTTTCAAAATATGGAAGCTCCAGGTGATGATGGAATTTTCTATATCCTCATCAAAAAACTCTCAGAGAGTACCTTGTATTTCTTGGTAAAACTATTTAACAGATGTTTCCATTTGGCATACTTTCCTGATACATGGAACATTTTAAAATTGTTCAAATTTTGAAGCCGTATAAAAATCTAGCTGAAGCTCTAGCTACCGTCCAATAAGTTTGCTTTTTTCAATAAGTAAACATTTTGAAAAGTTAATTTTCAATAGAATGATGCTTCACATTAATACGAACTCAATTTTTGCAGATTAACAGTTTGGATTTCGTCATGGGCAGAGTAACAAATTTAATTTGTTCAAACAAACCTGAAGGCTGCTCAACTGGAGTTGCTCTTTTTTTTTAATAATTCGTTTATTCTTCCAGGCTCATTTGCTGTAGCTTAGCGGCGCCGATATTAATTGTTTAGACAACAAAATTACTTAAAACTACACACTTAAAAAAATTCATGTAAATTTAGGTGCTCTCAGACTGACATATACGAGCGTCATTTTTGACATAAAATTGAGTCGTAATAGACGCAAAACTCAGCTCAATCAAACGTACTTTTCGTCGAGTACCGAACTTTTCAGTCTCGGAGCACTTAATTTTACATGACATGTTAGTTTACGTCTCATGCTGTATGTCAAAGATGGATTCCGTCACGTGTAAAATTAGGTATTTCTAAGTGTGTAACGTTAGTAAAGCAGGGGCCGATTACTCGCGGCTATCTCGAGGTTAGGGGTAACAAATTGTGACAAATGGATGGCAGGGTAGGGATTGTGAACACAAGGTTTGGAGAGCAATGTGCTCTTGATCTCGAACTAGGCGACACTCTGAAGAAAAAGACAAACATGGGGGTACACCGATGGACAGCTAACAACTTGGGAGAACACAAGATGACACTAACTACTAAATTCTCAAATCTATCCGTTTTAAAAACACATAAATTAAATTCAAATAGTCGAGGTCTCGGCTCGCCAAGACATCTCTAACGGGTATCGCGGGTTGTTTTCCTCGGGCCCTGAGGGATATGGATAACTCAGATCTGGCAAAACGGTGTAGGGTACATGACTATGAAATGCTTATCCCCGAAAGCTATACCCAAGATGGCAGCCCCATCACGGCGGATAGGAGACCTTAGGCTAACTACCTACTGTCCCCGAAACTTTACAACTGTTACAGAAACCAATAGAGAAAGATCACGGACTGATATTACGGCAACGACTTTTAGCGCAAAACAACGGACAAGAATTGGAACATGGAATGTACTAACGCTAGCCCAACAGGGGAAGCTGGCACAACTCGCCAGCGAGGCTCGACGCATGAAGCTCGAAATCCTGGGACTAAGCGAAGTCCGTTGGCCAAACTTTGGAGAACACAAGCTGCCGTCGGGACAGGTACTACTCTATTCTGGTATTCGAGGTTAAAACGCTCCCCGCCACCGTGGAGTTGGTTTCCTGCTTAGCGCCCAAGCAAATGCGGCGCTCATCAAGTGGGAACCTATCAATGAGAGGATAATCGTTGCCAGATTCAGAACGCGGGTTCGTAACCTAACCATAATCCAATGTTATGCGCCAACCGATGCTGCCGAGTTACAGGACAAAGAGAACTTTTACAGTCAACTGAATGCAGTCGTGGATAAAATTCCGAGAGGTGACATCAAGATCTACATCGGCGACTTCAATGCGAAGATCGGCTCCGACAACACGGATTATGAGCGTGTCATGGGGCGCCATGGTCTTGGCGAAATGAGCGAAAACGGTGAGCTGTTGGCAGAGTTTTGTGGCAATAACGACATGGTGATCGGGGGTTCGCTCTTCCCCCATCGACCAGTGCACAAAGTCACGTGGGTTTCCCGTGATGGACATACCGAA